TAGATGTGAATAAAATGAACAACATCTGATACAGTTCGCTTGATATGTTACACTTGGTATCAAAAACCGAGAACCAAGTTGGCGTGCCAGCAAGGACATTTATTTAGCCTAAACTTATAAATTTGATTTGATAATTATCAATAATTACCGTCTTAATAAAATCAGTACAGTTGGAAACAGACAATAACAGAAAAGGTACAAACGTATATTTTAAATATTATACAAATAAATCAACAGTTTCCCATAAAAAATCAGTAATACGAGAAATCTTAAAGTATATTTTAAATATTATATAAATAAATCAACTTTAAACCAACAGTTTTCCAGAAAAATCAGTAATACGAGAAATCTTGTCTGTAACTAATCGATAACGCTGTAACTTTAATCTATTTTAATTAAAATAATATGTTTTAAAGCTTGACAAATATTCGAGTAGCTCGTTATTTTTCACATGTACACATCGAAATATGTGACAGACACAAATAAAAATAAATTATTTATCTCAAAATATTATTTAAAATATTTTATATTTTAACACAAGCAGCTTTATATGTACTATGATACAATTTTTATACAGTAAAATTAAAAATAAATACAATATATATATATATATAGGTTATTATATAACCTTTGATGGTGTACACGGAGGCTTAAATTGATGGCTTCCATATAAATTTAAAAATGGTTGTTATTTGCACCCTTATCTGTTAAAAGTTAAAAAATCTTAATAAATAATATCTAAGAGATTGTTTATTTGTGACTTAATTAGGCTTATTGATTTATCTAGATTATTTGCACAGTTCATTTGGGTTATTTACTTAGGCTTATTCGCACAGAACATGACTTAATCATACAGATATAAATGATATGTTGTCCCAATATTTATCCCCTTATTTAAAGCACCGTCTTCTTTCCATATGAGACACCTTATATTCGATCTCTTTATGATTTTTTTGTTTTAATGTTCAAATAATTAATGTTGCGGGGTAAATAGGTCATTTATGTTATTCAAACTGTTAGTTCAGATAAAAAAAGTAAACAACAACACCCATTTATCTAGATAGACAAATTTATTCATACATGATTTAATAAAAAATTTGATAAACAATCCTTAAATGATCTAAAAGTTTGAAATGAGGTTGTTATTTACATATTTTATTCATTAAAAATAAAAAATATATAGTAAATAAGGTAAAATGATTTAGAAGTTTAAAAAATGACATTATTTCATTTCTTTTTTCTCTCTCTCTCTTTGTTTTTTCAATTAATAGATAATAATAATTATTAGTTTATAGTAATTATAATTTTTATTTGTATTATGTATTAATCAAATTTAAAATCAATAAACTAAAACACAGTGTGTCTTGTTATTTATAAAAAATTATAAATCATTTATTTTGTAATTTTATAAATTTTAACCTTATGTATATCGTTGCATGGTTTGTACGTATAAAAATCGAATAAAACTTTAAAAATTCATATATTAATCCTTAATTTTTATTTTATCTATATTTTCATAGAATATATCATTAATCTTTCTGCAACTTTAAAAATTCAGAAAATAATTCATTATCTTTTCCCAACTTTAACACTTATTTAAGTTTTTGATATTCAAATAATAATTTCATTAGTTTTTCAATAGTTTTTAAAATTTAAGATAATAACTCGTCGTTATTTACTAAAACTTCAAATATAAATTAGTTTAAGTTGTATTATATTATATTTATAAAAAAATATTTTTGTAATAAAAATATACAATAGGTATTGTTATATAATATTAACAATTATAATAAATATAAAACGATGCTAATTGAAAAGTTATATTAATAAATTTAAAAACTTAAAATAAAAAAATAATTTTTATTATTTTTATATTTTTATTCTTATTTAAAAACAATATTTATTTTTATCTTAGATATTAAATATTCATAAGAAAAACGATAATAATAAAATTAATTATAAACAAAAAATATTTAAGGTAACAATATTACAGTTTTACAACGACAATGGTAGAATAGTAGTAGAAATAATAAGAGTTTGATTAAATAAAAAGAAAAAAACGTTAAGAATAATAAATAGAAATATAAAATACTTAAAATATAAATAAAGTTGAATGATAATGTAATTATTAAAATATAATGAATAGCAGATAGAAAGAGATATTTTTTTTTATTAACCTGGATATCGAACCAGCTATGCAAGCCGACTAATCCCAAGGTGACCACATGCTTTGTAGATAGCCCGGAGCCATCGCATTTGAACCTTTGTGGTCACAAGAAATTTTTTATTTCTCCTTAGATTTGAACCGGAGACCTCCTAATACTTTTAACCTTTAAAATCAAGCTCAAATTAATCAGATACCACCTTTATGGTCGAAATAGATGTCTTTAGTGTATAGGTAAGATAGCAATATTTCAACCCTTTTAAAACTTGGGTTAGTCAAATGAAAAATAATATTAAAAAAAAACTCAATAATTTGGTTATTATTCCAAGAAACTTACTTTACTTTAAATTTAAGACTAAAATAGTGTTAGATGTTCTTGGATAGGTATTTATTAGAATAATTTAAATATTTTTATTTTAAATTCTATTTAAACATTATTATATAATATTAAAAATTAAGTTTATGTGTAAAATTGATTATTTTATTAAATATACTTTAAGAGCATTTTTAAGGAAGGTTTTTTTTATAAGAATCTATTTTTTTATTTTTTTTAATATATCATTTTTAACTCATAAAATTAATAACTTATATAAAACTCTATCATGATAGTTTTTATTATAAATTATTTTATGAGGCATGAAAAAGTCATGTACTTTAACTTGATTTTTATTTTGGGTAATATATTTTTTAAAATTTTATTTTGGTACATAAAATGTAAGTTTTAAATATTTAAGTATCTCAGTATTATTTGTTATTTAACACAATTCCATCTCATCATTTGTCACATAAGCATGATAATCGGTTAATCCTTCAACCCGTTACCTAAGTACTTAATGTTTAAAACTTTACATCTTAGGCACCAAAATAAAAGTTTTGCAAGTACGTTACTCAAAATAGGAATCAAGTTAAAGTACGTTGTTTTTTCATACAATTTACCTTTTTTGAATATCATGTATAGTATAAGTTTTATATATATATATATATATATATAGTTTCAGTCAAGTGAAGAAATAGTATGGTATTTTGAAAACCTGTTCTATAATAATTTATGCATTTTAAAAAATTAAAATAAAACCATAAAAGACAATAAAATTTAATGTTACCTATTAAAAATGTCCCCCTAAAAACAAAGGAGTTAGTAACACAAAAAGACAATAAAACTCATAATTTATTAACAAAATTAATGGATAATATTTTTTTAATTTAAAAAAAAAACTTTATGATTCATGAGACTCATGAGATTTAATTTAGACTATAAAAAAATTAGTCAAAAAAAAAATAAAATTTGATTTAAAAAGCTCTATGAATAGTATACATATACATACACGATTAAATGTGCACACAAAATAAATACATTGTGAATACTTTTTTAGAAATATTATTCTAATTTGTGAACGTATATTAAACATACGAGATCTGATATAGTTTGTGAATACAAATTGAAACTATAAAACTAAATATAATCCTATTATTTGTAAACAATTATGAACACTACAATACACAAATTTTAAGGTTTTTTTTAATTGTATTTATCTTGTGTACATATTTAATTGTAAATGTGTACGTCTATATTACAGGAGAAATCAGTGAAGAGAAGTATATATATATATATATATATATATATATGTGTGTGTGTGTGGAGAGAAAGAGAGGGGTTCATTTGAGAATGATAAGTATTTGATAAGTGAAAAAATGATCATAACCCTTCATATGGGTAAGAATTGCGACTTTGACTGTCGAGCAAAAAATAGATGAATTGTTTCGTAATTTTTACAAATAAGAGCAAACAAGTGCATATATGAACTCATAAGCAAGGGCAGATCTAGTCCTTAAGGACTTGGGGGAAAACCCCTCAATCAAAGATCAAAAAATGTTTGTTGACTAGCTTAAATTTTTTATCTTTACCCTCGTCTTACATGGTTTCCCTCCAGTCACATACGACCATATGCTTGCCTCCACCAAGTCCCATCCAACGTGCCCCCACGTCATTAATTTTCTGGATCCGCCACTGCTCATAAGTGTATATGTGAACTACACAGATTCAAATATGAAAATATAGTTCATATGTTAATCACACATGTTCACATATACACTTGTTTTGCCGTTTATTTATAAAATTTATGAAACTACTTTTATATCGTCCATAATATCCATATACCATATGAGAAATTACCCTAACTCTTCATTTAAAAAGTGGTAAATATTTGAGAAATAAAAAAATGATCATAACCCTTTGTTTGATCGACATTTAATTCTCATACAATTATGTCTATTAAATAAAAACCTTTATGATGATGTATTAACGATGGAACAAAAAGCAACAATTTCTTGTTACCCAAAAGGAACGTGAAAAGAGTAGTAAATTGGACGCCGTTACCACTGAATATGTTTCATCTGACACACACAAATCCACTGACCCACCATTCTAATAAAAATCTTGAAATCGATTCCAAAATTTCTCCCAGATTAATATACGTAATCATAATTCTTCCCCCCAAATCACAAAATCCAAGAACCACACTCTTTCTTGTTCTTTCTCTCTCTACATTCCCATTCTTTCTCTCTCCAGAACACCCACTTCGACATTACTTTCCAAGATTGGAAGTCTGGTTGGTTGCAGAATTGCAATAAAAACCACTGATTGAGCTTCGATTAGGGTTCATATTACACAATCACAAAACCCCAAAACCCCATTTTCACAAACATTCATTTGTACTTTCTGAAAGAAGAGAGAGAGAGAGAGAGAGAGAAGGGTTTTCTCTGTGGAATGTAATATGAAATTGTGGAGATTAGAAGAAGAAGAATATATTATTATTATTATATTTGATTTCAAGAAATGGGGGTAGCGAAAGCTTGGAGATACAGCGGTGGAGTTTTGGTTTTAGCCAAAAGTCATCATCTTAATCATAAACACAACAAATTGAAGCAGCAAAAGCAGCAGAAATGGGTGGGCCAGGATCACCATTGTTGGCTATGGCAGCCGGCGGAGACGGCGGTGGTGGGTGGTGGAGGACAGCGGCGGCGGATCTCGTGGACGGTGGTTTGTGGGATGATGTTGTTTGTTTTGGGTTTGATATCGTTTTTTACGGGCCATATTGCTTCTGATCTTGAATGGTATTCTCATCGAATTGTTAAACGAAGATTGTGGAAGAACAAAGTGGTATGAAAATGAAACGATTAGTTTGTTTTCCTGAATCTTTTTTGTTGTTTTTATGTGGCAAATTTCATCAATGCTTTTTGTTTGCTTGTGGTGTTTGTTTGTTTGTTTTCTGTAACCCAAGAAAAACACTAGTTTTTGGAGGGGTTTAAAGGTGGTTTCTTTTTGCAATTTGTGGTCTAATTTCTTGAAAAAAGTGGGGTTTTTGAAGATGGAAGTTGAATCTTTGTATGCAAATTTTCTGTAAACCCAAGAAAAAACCAGTTTTTGGAGGGATTTAAAGGTGGTTTCTTTTTGCAATTTGAGCTCTAATTTCTTGAAAAAAGTGAGATTTTTGAAGATGGAGGTTGAATCTTTGTATGCAAATTTTCTGGGCAAAGTTTAGTTTTTTGTGGGTGCTTTGCTTGAAATTTCAGTTTCTTCTTTGCTGTCTATCAAATTGGTCTAATATGTGTGTGTGTGTGTGTGTGATTATTTCCTGCAATTTATAATGTGGGTATGATTATTGATCCTAATAAATTGACAAGTCTTTTTCTTTAAGAATATTACCTCAAAAGGGGGAGGTTCAGTTAGGAAACTTAGTATTTTAGGAACTAAGAACCACCTATTTTGTGAGTATTCATGATTATTCACAATGAATATCATGAAGGGGTAGGCTAAATGCATCTAAATGCACCTCCTCAAACACGTCTACGTCAAAATTTACTTTTTACAATTTCAATATATGATTTAACCCATGTATCTCAAGCTTGCGAATGTCTGTCACGACATCCATCGTGAATATTTTATCACGTTATTCATTATGAATACTCACAAAAGGGTGGTAATAAATTTCTAAAATATTTAAGGTTCCTAAAAGAACCTTTCCATACCTCAAGATCATGCATCTCAAGCTCAAGGTCTTAATGGAAAAAAACGGATTTTTCCTTTTGGAGTCGAGTCCAGGTTTGTATACATCTATCCCTCCCGGACCCCCACTAAGGGATATACTATACCGGGTTACTTTGGTTTGGTTAGTTCATATATCTAAACTTCTTACTAATAATGTCTCGGAACCTCCTTTGAGGTTTGCATCATGCTGTAAGCCTGTAACGTGCTTGCCCATTTTTCTACTTCGTGTTGAGTTGATCTTGATATCGGAACCGTGCTTCTGTTTGTATTTTTGTGCTTAATATATATTGCAATATGCTGTATAGGATTAATCCTTTTTGTTTAAAATTTAGGGCCGGATTAGTTCTGGACCAGTTGACATATGGAAATCCAAGTTCTCAAAGTTCTACTATGGATGCAGTGAAAGGAGCCCTTATTACGCACGTAAGCCATCTTGCCTATTGCGGTAGTTTCTCTAAGAATTCTTAGATTTGGTATTTTGTAGATCCTTAAAACACTGAAATTATGACGTAATGCAGCTCCTACTCGTCAGCTGCTTTCAAATGGTTATCTGCTAATCGCTGCAAGTGGTGGGTTGAACCAACAAAGAACAGGGGTAAATACGTTCTTTCCCTGTCTTACTTCATTTCTCATTTTTTATACACATAAAACCAAACCAAACGAATCCAGTATATCCCACACAGAGGTAGGGTATGTGGGGTTAAGATGTACGTAGACCTTGCCTCTACCTCTGGTGAGTTTGGTATGCAAGACAAAACAGGTCATAAGACAAAACAAAAACATATTGTCCTACGTTTGGTGCGACATTAGACTGTGACATGACATGACTTGAGTGGGACAAAAATGCATTTTCTCTATTCCACCGAAATAAAAGTGGAAAAAAAATCAGGGAGATTAGACAAGATTGGTAAATTACTATAGTACCCATGTTAAATTAAAACCCTAAAACCTTTCACAATTCTTTCACCAACCAATCTTAGGGCATGTTTATTAGCAGCTTAATGGAACTCACAACTTATTCGTTCAACTATACTTGACTGTTTGGTAGCGGCTTAATGATATAGAAAGTAGCTTATTCAGAAAGCTTGTAGGGGGGAGCTTTATGGAAGAAGCCAAGTTTTTTTATCCAAACCCGTCCCTCTTAATTAACAAACACGCTTCTTCCAACTACAAAAAACCGCCCTAAACAAAACTTTTCCAATCTATACCAGACAGATTAACCACACAGACAACTTGATCCATACAGGATTAATAGAAAACCAACCAAACAACCCTCACTCTCGTTCATCTATCCTAACAACATGAGTCTTTGAAGTTTCCATCTTCGTTTTTGATATCGTTGCATCACAAATTGTCTATATAGAAACACTATTCTCTCCTTAGTTTTTTAACGATGAATTTCCCATACTCAGATTACTGATGCCGTAGTTGTTGCACGGATTCTAAATGCTACTTTAGTCATTCCCGAGTTGGATCATCATTCATACTGGAAGGACGATAGGTGAGTTGAGATATTGATAGTTAACTTACGTTGTCTTTTTCCGGAAAACAAATTTTAAAATTATTGTAGCTTCTGTTCAATTTTGCAGCGATTTTGCCAACATATTTGATGTCGATTGGTTTATATCTTTTCTCGCAAAAGATGTGCCTGTAGTCAAAAGGGTCCCTGACAAATATATGAGATCACTTGAAAAACCACCGTACACTATGCGGGTCCCACGAAAATCCGAACCTCGATATTACCTCGATGAAGTACTACCAATACTCTTACGGAGACGTGTAAGATATTATTTGAATTACAATGAATGTACACTAAATGCCCTATAGACCCTGCAACATTTGACTTGACATGTAGTCTTGACTTTTTTTGTCACATACCTAATATATCCTTGTGCATATACTCCTAATGGATCAGGTTCTGGGTAAACTGCAAAAAGTGAAAAATTGAGGAACACACCTAATAACCGTTCATCTGTATGTTATGCATGTGTGCATACAAGTAAATTGTTCAGTATACACATGTGCATACACATGCACACGTGTATAGAAACGAGGAAACAACTTCAATTAATTGTATGCACATGTGCATACCGTACAAATGAATGGTTATTAGGGTGTTCCTCACTTTTTCATTTCTTAGGGGTTTTATTCTGAACCTCACTTTAGTCCTAATAATGGTCGTAATGGACAAATATGTCATTTTAACTCAAACATCCCAAAAGGGCAAAAAAAATCGGTTTTCATGGGATGAAGGTAGTAACACCAACATTTTTCTTGTCACATTTTGTAGTTTTTTTAAATGCATGATCTTCTGACAGATTAAGAATACCCCTGCCTAACATAAGAATACATCTTCCTAACACAAGAATTCCTCAAAATCTGTCAGAAGGTCTTACATTTAAAAAGAATCTATCGGAAGGTTATTCTCCTAAAAAACCCGATTATACATGTATATATGTTTGTAGGATGAGGTTCTAGGGAATACTTCTACAAAATTGAAATATTGAAGAACACCCTAATAACCGTTCATCTATATGGTATGCACATGTGCATACAAGTAATTGAAAGATGTTTCATGGTATGCACATGAAAAATTACTTAGAAATTACCTGTATGCATGTGCATACCAAAAACATGAATGGTTATTAGGGTGTTGCTCTTTTTCACTTTTTTGCAGTTTTTCCTGAACTTGGCCTATGTTCGTTTATAAGTTCTCAAAATCATAATCTTTATGAATAGGGTTTCAATCAATATGTTTTCTTTATGAGGTGTATTAGTTATTTGATTGGCGATCAACGAATTGTGCAGGTTCTTCAGTTAACAAAGTTCGATTATAGGCTTGCTAGTGATCTCGACGAAGAGCTACAACGGTTGCGTTGCCGGGTCAATTATCACGCTTTACGCTTTACAAAACCCATACAAGATCTTGGTAAGAAGATCGTTATGGAAATGAGGAAGATGGCTAGTAGCTTCATTGCAATTCATTTGAGGTTTGTCACTTCCGTCCCGTTCTTTCTCATGGTGGTGTGTTGTTGTAAAGTTATTCATGGAAACGACATTTTTGGACAAATATAAGCGAAATGCACAAACAAAACGACTAACGTTTCACAAATCAAAAACCTACAAGGGATTTATTTGTGGGTGCAATTCTTCCAGCACTTCCAACCACGTAATTAACTCGTGTATATATATATATATATATATATATATATATATAAATAGAAAGATGAAATTTTTATGCCATATTTTTTTTTGCTTAGTCTTGTGCTTGATGATGGTCAACCGGGTATGCGATGTACAGGTTTGAGCCCGATATGCTTGCATTTTCGGGTTGTTACTACGGTGGTGGTGATAAAGAAAGATACGAGCTCGGTGAAATCAGGAAACGATGGGCAACATTACCCGTGAGCTCGCTATAAACCATCCTTTTTTCCTTCCTATTCCAAGATATGCACTTGTGCACGACTTTCTTTAACCATATTCGTTCTCGATTTAGGAAACGAGTCCTGACGGAGAGCGAAAACGAGGAAAATGTCCTCTAACGCCTCATGAAGTAGGTTTAATGCTTCGGGCACTCGGTTTTGAAAATAACATGCATCTTTATGTTGCATCGGGTGAAATATATGGTGGGGAAGAGACTTTGAAGCCTCTTAGGGATCTATTTCCGAACTATTACACTAAAGAGATGCTCGCTAGCCAAGAACTCGAACCTTTTCTTCCGTATTCTTCTCAACTTGCCGCCGTTGACTACATTGTTTGCGATGAGAGTGATGTTTTCGTCACCAATAATAATGGGAACATGGCCAAAATCCTTGCGGGTCGAAGGTATGAATCTAGAACTCTTCCTATTAGTTATAGTATTTTCTCCGTCCCAAAATAGATGTCCACAAGGAAAAAGGCGCACAGTTTTAGAAATGTGTAGTTATTACGCTTGTTAATTAACCTAATGACGATTTTACCCTTAATAATATAGGCAGTATTGAAATGGGAAATCGACCAAAATAGCCCATCTTCTCAACCAAGTTCACTTTTTAGCCACTTTTTGTGTAGAACACCCATTTTAGCCATAGTTTACGCAAATGCGGATCCTTGCGCAAACTCTTTATGCAAATTACACAAATTTGTGTAAAGAGTTTTTGTCTTTTTTTAATCTGAAAATAGGCTTTTAAGGCATTGAGTTTACGCAAATGGGGATTTGTAGGGTTTAGGGTCAATGAAACCATGGTCCTTGATGTCCCATGTCCCGCGTGAAGGGGTAGAGTTTTCACAACAAGGTCTCGAGTTCCAAATTTGGCCCGCACTTCCTGCCTCTAGGGCACTACGATTTAGCTCCACCATAATGGTCGTTGGACCCGTATGGTGGGGATTCTCTGGAGGTAGTGCAAACCCCCCCTTTTTTCCCGTAATGATGGTCCTTGGTTTGCTTTACCCTTTACCTATACTGGGTTTGTTTGGTTTGGTTCGGTGATTTTTGTCGGCTAGATTGTTTGAGATTTCTTGTGAACAACTCATCGTTGGTCGACTACTGCAAAAATGACCAAAATGCCCTCATGTAATTTTTGAATATACTTCCGAATAGATCCTTTTTGACTTTTATGGACTTCTTACTCAAACTATTGATTCGGTTTATTGTTAAAGAACCAACTAGCTCCTTGTGGTATTAAAATAGCTCGACGTTGGCCGCTTAACTAGTGTAAAATGACCAAAATGCCCTCATGTAATTTTACTATTTGTTTGAATAGATCTTTTTCTTTCTTACCCTCAGACAGTACCTCTAGGTAAAGATATATCGGGTTTGTTTAGTTTGGTTTGGTCACTTAACCTCGGTAAAATGACCAAAATTCACCCTCTTGTAATTTCACTATTTTTCCGCATGCGTCATTTGAGTTATGCACTTTTTACCGTTTTACAATTGATTCGGTTATTAATTTTCTTTTCTTGTGGCATTCTTCAAAAGGAGGTACATGGGGCACAAGAGAACCATTCGGCCAAACGCGAAAAAGCTCAACGCTTTGTTTCTTAAACGCGAGAAACTGCCATGGGAAACGTTCGCAAAAAAGGTGAAAGCATCCCAACAAGGATTCTTGGGGGAACCAAACGAGATGAAAGGTGGTCGTGGCGAATTCCATGAATACCCTTCTACGTGTATCTGCAAGAAGCCATTCAAGTTCTCATATCTCGACACTGGAAACCAAACGGTCACGAAATCGTTGGAATATGGACGGAACGAAGAAGATCAAGGTGTGCATAATGTGTAGAGTATAGAAATTGCAGGTCATGGATCATCATCATCAAAGGATGCTGTTTGGTTTACTAATAGAAACAAGAAACTTTGATATTGGTTTTAGGATTTAGTTCTGTTATATATATATATATATATATATATATATATATTGAGCTAAGTTGGCTCTGTGTTATATTTATATTTTTCTAAATGCCCATTTTACCCTTGTGTCATTAGGGTATGAAATGGATGTGTATAGTAAAGCGTTGACTTGTTTCATTAGACGAGTTTGTATAAACTTTTTTAAGGTAGGAAGAGTTTACTACCAACTTGAGCATCGAAGAAATTGGATTAATTGGTGAACAAAGTTCTTTATATACTATCAAACGGTTTTTGACCTAACGGTATATGAGTCTTTAGTCTTTTAGAAGATTAGAGGTTCAAACCTCACAAAATGTGAGAAGGGTGTATAAGTTTATTTCTTTTATTTAGCGGTAACAAAAGCAAATAGAAGAAATAAACTTAAACTAGTCCATGGTTTATAAATAGGGCTTTTTTTTTTTTTTCATTTACTTATTAAAAATATTATCTAGTTTATATAATTTAAATTTTGTTAAAAAACCAAAAGAATTATTCATTAAATGTCTTCAACTTAATATATAAGGGTGATCTATCAAAGGGCCTTTGTCTTAGTGGTATATGAGTCTTTGACCTCTTAGGAGGTCAGAGGTTTAAATCTCATTAAAGATGAGGAGAATGTATGAGTTTATTTATTCTATTTGCTGTATATAAATATTATATACTTCAAAAAAAAAAAGAATGGCCTAGCTAAGTAGATATGGTAGCACATGTCCACACTTTATAGTTCCATCATATCATACTCAAGGGTGTCATTGTATTGTTTCATCGGGTACCTTTATATATTACACTAATGACACAAGTTCTTGATGATAAAGATGGATACCGTTATTCAGGGATGGACCTAGTGTAGATCATACTATAGCACGAGCCACCGCTTTGTTCCTCCGTCTTAATGTAAAAAAATTATAAGGTCGTGAAAAGTGTTACCGTATCAATTTGTTGTGTGTCACCATATATATTTTAAAACTACAATTAAGATACAAGTTTCCATTTGTAGAGTTGGTTTGCAAGACTTCTCTAAGTGTTATTTTCTTCCATCATAGACCTGAGTTCAACAGGGGTTTGAACGGGGTTAGACCGGGGGTTGTTGCTAAAAACCGAGTCCGTAGATACCTTATTTCACTTCTATTTTATCACTATACCTCCGTTTCTCCTATTTAACAATCTAAATTCTCTTTTGTTAACAGCTTAAATGAGACTCGTAGCTTATTTTATTAGTTATATATGACTGTTTGTTAGTGACTTAATGATATAGAAAGTACCTTATTCAATAAGCTTTCAAGAAAGAGTTTTATACAGAAAGCCAAGTTTTTTTGAAACATGTCCCTCCCAATTACGAAAATGTTCATTCCATCTATAAAAAAAACTTTTCCAAACAAGAACTTTATCAATCTATACTTATTGATTTATCCACAGACAATTTTATCCATACATGACTTAATGAAAAACCAACCAAACATCTCCTAACTTCGCTATCATGGAATATGGACTTCTTACGAATTCACATGCAAAAGAATAGCTCCTAGAAATACGTAAATATTATTTTTTGTTAAAATTTAAGAGTCATTTACCAAATGCTTATCAGGTAAACTTATCGTCGTGTCACTTGCCTTACTAGGTGAGCATGTCCAAAATCAAGAATCTTACCTAGGGATAGCAAGGACAAAAAATATTACCCAGTATGTGAAGAAGAAGACTCTTTTCCGGTTAGCACTTATCATGTAAGAGATGTTTACCAACAATCTATACTGCTTCCACACAGTCATTTTGGTTCAAGTAAGTGCAACTACAATAACACTTGAACCAAAACAAATGTGCAGAATCAAAAACGGAAAAATCTTGCTCATACAAATAAATTATGATGTAATACACATGGAAAATGCATTAGTTTAAACCAAACCAAACCAAACCCAGTAATTCGCATGCAGAGGTAAGATATGGGGGTAGGATGATCACCCCAAAGGATAAAGAGGTTGTTTAAGCTAACCATTGCATATACAATGGCTTGATAGAATTATATAAATGTAAAGAGCAAGTGTGCAAACTTAGTTTCAAATCTATACTTGAAACTATACCTTCATTCTTCATTTACAAAACCAACTTGGTGCTAGCCTATAGAAGAAACAACAATGATGGAAATAATACTAAATTCTAGCAAAAGAAGCAGCTATTGGCTACCAAATTCTAGCATATTCGTGGTTCGTTTTTTTGTCATAATTCTTCATAGTCATAATCAGAGGCAAGACGAAACTAGAAATTCTATTTAGGGCAAGTACCGTTAGGATCAGCATTCATGATGATCCAAGGATGCTCCAAGATTTTCTGAAGGGGGAGTCTTTTCGCGGAATCCTTCACTAAAAGCTGCATTTGTTCGAATCATATTATAGAAAATGGAAAGATTACTGAGTCACATAGTAAGTAATAAGGATGATGGTCTGCATATAGGAAAAGGATCTTTAGATTTATCTAGCAAAACATAGATCTTTAGATAGCTACTACGGGGTTGGTGCCTTTAGGATGCGTTTGGTACATTTGACAGAACAGAACAGGGATCCATGTTCCATGTTTGGCAGGACTTTTATGTGGACCAGACAGGAACAAGGTGGAACAAGATGGAATAGACTTATATTTTACCAATATAATCTCAAAATAAAACTTAATTCTCTTCTAAAATATTAAATAGGTCTCTTTTTTTAAATTTTATTCATTCTTTAAATTTTATTTATTGTATTTTATGCTTTTTAAACTTTCATTTTACCGTCCTCAAAATATTATTTTTATACGACTTCTATATTTTTATTAATTTATGTAATTTATTATATATTAATAATAATAAATAATGCGAAAAAGGGATAATATAAAAATTGGAAACTACATAACTTTTAATTTTGGTGTCATTTTAATTGTTTTGACGAAAACTTTCTAATGATATATTTTGTTATAAAAAATAATCGTTTTATTATAATATAATAAATTATATAAATTAATCAAAATATATAAACAACTCATTAGGGGTAAATTGGTCATTTTATTGTTTTGTTCTGTCCAGTTTTGTCTTACCAAATGCTAAACAACTGTTCTGTCCTGTTCTATCCGGTCTGGACACCAAACGCACCCTTAGGAAACGAAAATTGATTGGAAACCTAGGAACTGCCCACGGTGCGACACGTGGCATATTCGTCAGAATTATAGATATGTTATTCATCATGAATTTGTCTAGGAGACATAAACCTTTAGATAGCTACTCCAAGGGCAAATGCCTTTAGGAAAAAATTGATTAAAAACCAGGAACCGCCCACATTGTAACGCATGGCACATTCATCAAGAATTTGAACATGCTATCCATCATGAATTTATCTAGGAAACATAAATCTTTAGATGCCTACTATTAAGGCAGGTTCCATTAGGAACCTAAAATTGATCAAGAACCTAGGAACCGTCCACAGCGCGATGTGTGACATATTTATAAGGAATATGGACATGCTATTCATCATGGATTTATTTAGGAAACATAAATCTTTAGATGCGACAGAACCTAAAATCGTTTAGGAACCTAAGAACCGCCCACAATGCAACACGTGGCATATTCATCAGGAATATGGACATATTACTCATCATGAATGTGTGATCTATGATGAATAATACGTCCATATTCATCATGAATGTGCGATTCATGATGAATAACACTTTTTATACACATTATGAATGTATGGTTCATGACGAATAACACTTCCATGCTCATTATGAATGTGTTCTTCATGATTAATATTCATCCTGAAGAAGACACATGACATGATGTGGGTAGTTCAGGGTTCCTAATCAATTTTGGGTTCCCAACAGAACTTCCCTCAACTACCACCTACTGTAAGGAGATATGGTAGTCATCCACCAATTTAAAAAGATATGGAGATCCTTATCCTATATGCAGACCATAATCCTTATTACATAGTTACATAAATCTTCAATGAATATAACTTACTCGGGTTATGAGGTTTTGAGCTTCAGCAGAAACACAAGGTGTAGAAGGGAAAGTGAGGTCAACCTTCATAATCCTAAGTAGATAACATAAATCATTCGTCATTAAGCTGATTATTACATAACAAATGGAAAGAAGAAAAGTAGTTGCATAGGTTTCTTTCTTACCTTCGAAATGTATCTGCTTGGCTGTCTGCCTCAAAAGGCGGAACGCCATACAGAAACTCGTAACAGAGCACACCTAACGTCCAATTATCAACTGCATAATCATGAGCTTTATTCTCTACCATCTCTGGTGCTAAATAGTCCAATGTTCCACACATTGTGTGTCTCTTGTTTGTTGACTGAACAGACCATCCAAAGTCGGCTATCTTCAGACGACCCTACAATCGAATATATGGTATCTCTCTTAAATCATGATTTACATTTGTTAGAATATGTGGAACCTGGGTTGGGTTCCTGTGAGACCACCTGCGAGGGCACAGAAACACATTGAATGTTCACAGCAAAAAACTCACTGTTGCTGGGAAGGTTCAGTGTTTTATTGTGGCCTCATGGGTCTCATGAAAACTGGTTGGTCTTACATGGTCTCAAGTCCGTGAAAACCCTGCGAATCTAAAGCCCTTATAGAAAGAGGGGAGGTTCCAACGTATGTAGAGGTTTTGATGGACCATTTGTGGGACTCCAGCAACATTCATGGTCTTTTTCTTTTTCATGTTTCTTCGTTTATAAAATTAGATAGACAATAGAGCTAGAAACCCGAAGAATTTCATATTGCACAACTCATAGAAGAAAGTACTATGGTCCTGTTTTGTTTGCGAGATTGGATTTGGAATTGAATTCCATTCCAATCCCATGTTTGGTTTGAAAGATTTCCTGGATTTGAAATCTGGGGATTTCATTGAAATCTGGGGATTTCATTGAAATCCCACAAACATAGGATTTTAAAATCCCATGGGACTGGTATTTCATAAGATTTCGTAGGATTTGTATGTAGTAATGGTTTAAAATATGTTAAGGTCACTTGTTTCGTAATAATCAATTAATAAAAAGGTAAATTAAATATTTTATAATTATTTATAGAAAAAATTATTAAATATTTTTATAATTATTTATAGAAAAAGTTATATTTTTTTTCATAAATAATGAAATTCAATTCCATTCCAAATCGTACAAATCAAATACACCAAAGATTCCAAATCCCTCCAATTCTAAATCCCTCCACCAAATCCAAATCCCTCAAAACTAATCCCACAAACCAAACAGGACGTAAGAATTCTAAGGGCCGGTGTGGTTTGACAGCATGTTCTTCAAGAGATTTAGATTTCGTGGAAGGATTTGGAATCTTTCTTGTGTTTGGTTTGTAGGATTTGGAATGGAATTGAATTCCATTCTTTATAAATAACTTATAAAAACAAATTATAAAAAATAATTAAAATACCTTTTTATTAATTGATTATTACAAAACAACTGTTATTAACATATTTTAAAACATTATTACAAACAAATCCTCTGAACTCCACGAAATACCAACAGCCCCCACGGGATTTCTAAATCCAAGCATTCCTTCAAACCAAACATAGGATTGGAATGGAATCCAATCCCAAATTCCTCTATATCCTATCAAGTTCCACAAACCAACTGGGACCTAACTGTTACTTTAATCAAGAATGCTAAAAATTGTGAGAGACCAATGACACTATGCCAATATTCTACATGAAACATTCATCCATTAACACATAACATAATTAACAACAAAAGTACAACAAATCAAAGTTCAAGTAAGCTCATCTTAACATACCTCATGATCGAGCAACAAGTTCTCTGGCTTGATATCCCGATGGATCACATGCTTATCATGACAGTATGCTAGTGCCTGGGTAAGGCTAGCAATGTACTAAAGATCACCACCAATAAGCAGATTCAGAAAATGGATTCAAAACAATGGTATAGAAATCCTTACCTTAATTGATGCTAGAAATTCCATTTACACTACCTCCATTCCAGCAAAAACAACTTAGGGTCCGCTTGTTACCAGCATAATGAGCTTAACGGGACTCAAAGCTTATTCGGTTAGCCATATTTAACTGTTTGGTAGCGGCTTAATATTACAGAAAGTGCTTATTAGGTGGGGAGCTTTATGCAGAAAACCAAGTTTTTTTTCTTCCAAACTTGATCCTCCCAATTAAAAGCACTCTCCTTCCATATATGAAAAAACCCTTCCAAACAAAAACCCCCCAATCTAGAATGGAAAATCAACCAAACATCCCTTAGTTTAAAATACTAAACCAATACAATTGATAGCCCAATTCAGAAGAATACGATTACTTTTCTTTAATAGCAAAGGGTCAAAGCAGAACCCAAATCAACAAGAACAAAGGGAAGCTATTAAAGTCCCAAATTGAATCAGACTATTGTGTGTGTCTGTGGGTGAGTAACACACACACGCACACACACATATATATATATAGAGAGAGAGAGGTATATTACAGTGGCAGCTTGTTTCTCGGAGAGATGACCGGATCTACGAAGCTGCCCATAAAGCTCACCTCCATGAGCATACTCCAAAATCAAGAAGATTCTTTCTGCATCGTGAAACCATCCGTAAAGCCTGAGAACATGTGGATGACGAAGGCTGGTTTGAATCGCCATTTCTCTCTTAAGCTGGTGTTGCAATCTGTACTTTTCAATCTGCTCTTTGAATATCACTTTCAAAGCAACTATATACTTGCTCTAATTGGAACAAACACAAATCAAATTTTGCAGAATTAACCCTAATTCCAATAAAATCATAGTTGCATACTGGTACAAAGTGAAAGCTAGGTGTTACCTTGGCTTCACGGGCGAGGTAAACTCGGCCGAATTTGCCTTTGCCAAGGGGTTTCCCTATCTCAAAATCTTCAACAGACCAATGTCGTTTCACAGATTCGGAAGCCATTGATGGACGTTTGAAATTGGGGGAGGGAATTCTTTGAATTTGAACACAAAAGAATTTTCATGTAAATTACAATAATAGTCCCTGAACTATTATCCATCTTCATTTTCAGTCATTTAACTCATTTGGTTTCCACTTCTAACAGAGGTGTTTATCAGTTGAAATCCAATTAATTTAGATAGATCTGATTCAAACCAATCATCTAACAGATGTTGGATTTTGTCATTCGATCTTATTCAATCAATATTGGACATCTGATTTGATCAGATCTGATTGATGATTGGATCAGATAGGTTCCATCAATTGGACACTAATATTAATGCAATTTTCAACCAATTATTCATTTATTTCAAAAATTGTTCATATACTTTCTTAACTTACTAAAAACAAGTACGTATAAATATCAACTTAAAAATAATATCTTGAATTGTTAATAGTTTTATATGGTTATTACTTAATTGTATAGTAGTTAGAAGATAATTGGATGGGATAGTCATTGGATAGAATCAGTTCGATCTTATTGGATTCTGGACTGTTATCTAAGAACCAACAGATCCATTTTGGATGTTAAAATTTTGGATCCAATTAGATCGAATTACAATTAGATATTTGATTATTGTCGGTTGATTTAAATTGGATCAGATGACTTTCTATACACCCCCATTTATGATACGAAATCTCAAATTCGTGTACCAACTTAGTCTCATCTACGGTTAACATAAAACACTTTTTACGATAAATTTGTTATCTTTTTCATTTTTTTATCGGAAATAAATACACATATATTTACAACAAAAACCGATTCGAGTTCGTCTGGTTTGGATAAGAAAAAACAATTCGACAAATAATAATTATGATGCAGATATATGAATATGCACCATCTTTTTATCTGGTAACATTTGTTCAAATGTCAAAATCCATTCAAATCTTATGTGTTATGAATATCTTATTTGGATTTCGCAACCCTAATTTGGAGGCTGAAGGGGAGAGAACTGTGAGCTATAACGTGAGATGGTGAGAGCTCAAGAGACAGAGAACAAAAGTGGTCGGTGGTCATCTAGAGGCAGGGTAGCGGTGGCTAGGAACGGACTCAATTTTTTTTTTATTTGTGAGGAGTTGGAATTTGGGCCTTCAAGAATAGGTCAACATGCTTGTCGAGAGGGAGCCTAGTCGAGCAAAGTAAACGGGCTAAACACCATTGTGATTTGGGCCATTTTCTGGTGGATTGTTCACTGCACACTTATTTTATCGAGTAACATTCTCAATCAACCATCAAAATGGATTATTGGTAAGCATTTTTTACCTAGTAAGCGTTTACTAGAGACTAGTCGTTTTTCTCAATTACTGGGTAAGATTCTTAATCATTGTTATTCCTCAAACAAAAAGATGGTCCTTCTAGAAGCTTTGATTGAAATAAAAATCATGATCTAGTCCAAAACGTAATCTTTAAAGAACCGAACTTTTTCTTCATCCTTTCAGGCTAGGAAATGGGTTGTCCCTGATCCTTAGTAGCCAAGGTCTAGGGCTCATGTCCAATATTAGCATGTACTCAACTTTCGGTTGATTGTAGTTAGAATATTTTGGTCTAGGTACTTGTTCACGTCCCGTATATTTTCACCCCATTCAAGACATTTCAGAGGTCATGGATTTTAACATAAACTTGTACTCGAAATTAATTTAGGTTGACCGTAACTAGGATCTTTTGGTCTAGGGACCTAAATAGTGATGGAAATTTGACCCGTTGGGTCGGGTATCCACAAGCATCCGCCCCTAATATGACTTGGGATTCCCCGACTTGTCGGGTAATATGGGGGGTGAGGGTGGGTAATATCGACTTATCGGCCCCTAATGTTAATTTTTGTATTCACTAGTCAACCTAAATAACAATAGGGTAAAAAGCTATGAAATGCAATAACATTTGGTTTATGGGTTATTTACCAAACGTTTGTCGAGTAAAAAATATAAAAAAGATCAAGAACCTTACTTGATAAGTGTTTTTCAACAATCAGTTTTGATGACCAGGAATCTTACCCGATAAAAAGTACGATTGGTGACTCTTACTCAGTAACACTTATCTAGTAAGCATATCCTTATTTTGTTTTGTATTCATTTTGATTTGTAAGTTGTAACCACTGATTTTGTAAAATTTGATGCTCATTTAAGAAAGGCTTACAAAAAAGACTACATGCATGACAGTTGACATCTAGGTCATCAACACTATATACTAGTAAGCTACCGATCAAAACGGGTAAAAATAATAAAATTTTGAAACATTAAATAACTTTTTCTTTTGGGGAAATTGCATGAAAAAGTAATATATTTTGACTTGATTCCTATTTTGAGTAACGTACTTTTAAAACTTCCATTTTGGTATATAAGATGTAAAGTTATAAACATTTAAGTAACCGGATAACCGGTTAAAGTGTCGGGGACAATGAAGTAGATGAAGTGGTTGGATTTTCAAAATTAACACCAATGGATTTGCATTTTGGAGGAAATATCCATAACTAAATAAATAGAAGTCATAAAAGAAGAATCATAACCGCAAGAGTTGTGAAGTAGTGGTTGGGTCCCTGGAGAAGTGGAATATTTCATCTATCTGAGGTTCGATTTCAGACGTACACAACAATTTTGGCCACTAAGGTCTAGGGAGGATATGGTAGAATATCCCATCTTCTCATGATTCATTTTCAGGCGTACACAACAATTGTGATCACTGAGTTTATCAGGGCTGATTTCTTGTAGTCAAATTTGCCGGGATTAGTCCCGACATGGACACTTCCAAGAAAGAACAGAAGAATCATGGATGCTAAAGTTATAAAAGAATGAACCAACACTTGCAACTATGGCATATACAGATTTGATATTTAGTCAAAAGGCTAACAACAAACAACATATCAAGTTGCCAAGATCTTTAAAACATGAAATCCAACACTGAATGATGGTACTAAAACATCAAAAGATTTGAAGAACATTGTACAATGAATTCTTCAAGAAATACGCGAGTCAAGACGTAAAACAACACCCCAAGCAATACAGATACGGGAAGGGCAGGCAAAGCTTTTTGATATAAAGCAAGAAGCATAAGAGTGATACCAAGTCCGGCTATGATGGCAAGATAACAAGCGTAAACCGTCATGTAATCATACATTGCAGCCCTTCCTACCAACACACTATAGAAGATAAAGTCCCCCAAACCAAGCTTGATGGCACCCGAGGATCCCAAACCAATCCCCTCAAGACCCAAATTCTCACCCACAAGCCCATGGTCCCTAATTCGTTCAATCAATGGAGCAGTTAGCTCATGACCCTCTTCAGCATTCGCTATAATTCTCTGACCCTCTTCAGCATTTGTTATAATTCTCTGACCCTCTTCAGCATTCGCTATAATTCTCTGATTTTGGCTACTTTCGGTGGATTCAAGATCAACATTTCTCCATATCCTCCTTTGAACAATGCTATTCCTCCTAGGATCAACTATGGGTCTAGCTTCATAAACAAGGGCTGGGATATCTTCATCTCTCGATATAGCGAGTTCGACCAATAACCTCAATGGACCCCCAGGTAACAAAACAGCAGCAAGATCATACAAAGCCATGGCAACCAGAAGCACCCAAGTGGTCCATTCAGGCAACATAGTGAACCAATAAGCAGTCAACACCCCAATAATTACCATATAAGATTGAGTCACAAGGATTGGGATTTTCGACATGAAAACCGCCAAAACCCCAACAATTGTGAAGTTGAACAATAACAACACATAAGTAAATGAATCAATGGCAATTTTGAAGACCTGAATCAAGAAAAGACCAATCTCACCACCCATGAACCCTAAAACAAGAAAAGATGAGAAACCCATGTAGTATTTCAAAAACTTTGTGCATCTAAAGTAGAAAAGAAGCACCAATAGGAAGGTGACAACTGTTACAACAGCAACAAACACAAGGGAGTTCAAGAGGGCGCCTTTGAATTTGTCCCATTCTGAATCAGATGTGCTTTCATCGTAAGCTATGGTGGCTATGGTGTTGAATGAAGAGAAGTTCGATGAGTTTGTGTCCAATATTGAGACCAAAATCACCACTAAGAACATGCAGATTGACACTGGGGTTATGATTCTGATGATTTCTTCGCCTAGGGAATGAAGAATGCCTGTCGGCCTAGGGTTTTGGTCCATAATCGATCTGAGTTTCAGTAAAAATCGGAGATTTTTAGGGTTCTAAATAGGAAATCGGATGAAAGAAGAACGAAAATCTATTTGGGTGTTCGTGAAATTTGGACCTGAATTGCTCGATTTTCTGCTCTACCTGATTGAATCCCCTCATTGGTGGTTGTCGGGTTCAGTTACGGGTCTGCGGATCCTTCTACGGGTCACAAAATTGTAGATTCTACTCGTTCATCCCTATACTATTAAGAAAAGCCGATATGGCCCTTGTTAAATAAAACCTTACGATTTGTGTTTGACTAGTAACATACCCGTGCATGATGTCGAGCAAATCATTCTGATTATGAAGCCGAGAACTCGAAACAACAATCTTGTCTCAACTTTATTTGAAATAAAATAGTTCGATAACAGTGTTTTTAACCCCTGCCATTTGTTGTTCTTGCTATAAAACAAATTAATTCGTAGATATTCATGATATTTAATAGTATGATTAAATCCAAAAAATATTCAATATTGAGCTCACTTTGAAAGTATTGAAGAGACGATTATAATTGTATAGTTTGTAAAAAAAAGAAACGTGTTTTTTAAATTCATTTTAATTAATATATGATTATTTATGTTAATATGATAAAAGTGTAAAAATGAAAAAGTAAAATACATACAAAGTAAATTGAAGCATGAATTACAAGGGTTATAAAGTGTAATCAACTCTGATATCACTATATAACACCCCCAAAGCCCAAAACAATGGATTGATCCAATAACTTCGAATCCAACTTAAAACTTCGGTGGAAGTTATTAGCTCACTGCTTAAGACATATAAGGAACTAACAATTTCCATTTTTTATCCATGTAGAACGAGTTGTTACAGTTACATATTATAATAAACAACTGTAAATATTACTTTTTTATTTTATCTTTAAATGTAATTGAGAAGATTAAAAGAAAGGTGTTGCCAAAGAAAATGATTGCTTTTATAGATTATTGATACTTTTTAAGGGTTTAAGCGGCAAGCGATATAAAAATTAAATGTGTTTTGTTATAATTTTGATTTTGATTTATGGAAAATACCTTCAAAAATTGTAGGTATAGAAGCTTGTCGCAAACTTCATAAATAAGAAAGCGGATTGGGGGCTGGGGGCAGGGAGGTTGGAGATCTAATTTCATACTTGAAACGGGGTCGGGATGGGTTCGAGGATGGCATTACTCGTCCCTAATTTGACTAGGCATGGGAATTGGTCACGACCAACCGAGGAACCTGGTTCACTCGCCACGATCGGAGTCGGATTCCCCGTTAAACCGGGTCTCAGGGACGGGGTCGAGGATGAGTCATGAGAATTGGTCCTGACGAAGAACTCGGTCTACCTGCCCCGATTGGGGATGGGGATTCCCTGTTAAACCGGGTCTCTGGGACGGGGATCCCAGTTTGGTTCAAAGCGGGGAAGGGGTCGGGAATGGATATCACACTTCTTGTCTTGTCCCATACCCGTATATGTATTAATTAATAAATTATATTATATATTATTTATATCTATTAAATCGAAAAATGATAATTTTTATTTCAATATATTCTGGATATTAGTAGATTTTCTCTAAAGTTTCTTGTCTTCTTTTGAATAATTCATTGAATTCTTTTGACCATAACGTCTCTTCAAAACTTTAACGTCTCTTCTTTTGAATAAAATAATATTCTAGTGTCTTTTTCTTCAATAATGAATCTATCTTCAATAATGAACTTTTTCTTCAATAACGAATCTATCTTCAATAATGAACAACCTGCAATTATTTTGATAAGATAATAGTTTTGAACAAGATGTTATCTGAAATACCAAAGAGCGTATTTCACATGTTTTGATAAGATGTATTTTGATAAGATACAAAGACTTTGCTTGCAAAAGCAATGACCCAAAACACACATACACAACCCTTTGAAGATTAAAAATCTTCGTAGGGATCTTGACTATCTTTATATAGACTTTGAAGATTTTGTTCTTCATTCGGGACATGACCGTTCATCATAATTGAAATAGAAATTTATGCAGTGATATAGTAATTGAAAGGCAAGCAAAAGTATGAAAAAAATACCTTTATTAGACAATTTGAGCATACATCAGGAGCAATGATAAGATTGAAATCTAAAGATTTCGAACATTGAGAAGTTGAAAATTTGAAAGAAGGTTTCTTAGACATATCATACTAAGACTAACTAAGGGATTTTTCTAAATGAGGGTTGTTTGATAATTCTGGATGAATTTGTGGATTATTTTCCGGATGATTAGAATGAGAACTTCTATCTTCTTTTATAGGCGAATTCTTGAATAAAATGACCGACACGTTCCCTTCATCTTGAGCAATTATTGGACTTGAAACCGGCACGTTTCTTTAGATAACATCTTGTTCAAAACTATTATCTTATCAAAATAATTGTAGGTTGTTCATTATTGAAGATAGATTCACTATTGAAGAAAAAGACACTAGAAGATTATTTTATTCAAAAGAAGAGACGTTAAAGTTTTGAAGAGGCGTTATGGTCAAAAGAATTCAATGAATTATTCAAAAAAAGACAAGAGACTTTAGAGAAAAAAGATTCTATATGTCGATGGCTCTTCAATCGATTTTGGATGTTACTCCATATGTTTTGGTACATGTGACGCTAATTTTTTTAAATTAATTTTTTTTCTTTTGGTTTTCAATTTATTAATTATTATATGATGATGCATATTTTTTGTGTTAAATTAAATTCCTTTTGATTTTAGATTTATTGAAAATATGTGAGATTTAAACATTACATTTGATTTAAAAAAAAACTTACACAAATAGAAAAAAAAAATTCTCGTTCCCTATTGGGACGGGAAACGGATTGGGGACAGAGACAGAATCCCCACCCCCATTATCATGCCTAAATCCGACTTTGATTATTTTATGTTATTTTAATATATGTATATAGTCTATGTATAAATAAATAATATGTATACATGTATTACATTTATTATTAAATGATAAATATATTTGATTTTTAATATTAACAATTAGCATACTCACGATTCATTATAACTTTAATTTTAAAATACATTGTTTTTTCGGATACGCATTAGATTCCACAAACCCGCAGAGATTCCTTCCCCCAAACTCATTGACGATTAGTTGGAGGTGGGGTCGGTGATGAGGGGTTTAAACAAGGACCAAGTCGGGGACGGGGGTGAATACTCACCCAATACCAGCCCCGTTTCAATCCTTAGACCTGAACTAACTGGTCCGGCATAATTTCAACCATTCAAGACATTATAAGAAGTCATTGAACAAAAACTTACACCCAAAATTTCGGTTGACCGTAGTTAGGATCTTTTGGTCTAGGGAATTGAACTAGCAAGTTCCGCATACATTCAGCCCTATTCGAATTGAACTAGCAATTTCCGCATACATTCAGCCCTATTCAAGATGAACTAGCAATTTCTGCATACATTCAGCCCTATTCAAGACATCACAGAAGGTAATGGATTTAACAAAAAACCTGTAAGAAGGTCATTTGACCTCAACCAACCCATAGCAATAAAAACAAAAGGAAACAAGAGCCATAGCTTTAATGAATGAAAGTACCCAAATTTTATTGATGCACCATTTAAATGGATGCTAATAACACCATCAGTTAACCCCCTCTTCCATCACCTCCATCAGATATTATATTGTATACAGAGAAAGCCGATCATCATCTTCCTTCTAGAAGCTACCATATGTTTTGGAAGAAGCTTTATGGTAACAGAACCCTTCCTAGTTCTATAATCTCATCACCTTAATTACACACAACAATGAAGTTGGTTTCCCAGCTGGTTTCAGACTTTGTTTCACCCATTCCCTGTTACAAACTCGAGGAAACCAGTTAATATATCAACCACCGATAACAGTATCATCACAAAAACAAAAAAAATCACAAAGATTTTGTTCAGTCTTTTGGATAAATGGCCTTCCAGGGCTGTTTGGTTGGTGTTCCACTGTTTGTTAGTGGCTTAATGAGCTTAATGGGACTCGCAGCTTATTGGTCAACTATACATGACTGTTTGGAAGTGGCTTAATGATATAGAAAGTGACTTATGCATCAAATTTCTAGAGAATGAAGTTTTTTTTTCCAAATATGTCCTTCCCAATTAGAAAAGCGTTCTTTCCATCTATGAAAAAACCATCCTAAACAAAAATCTTTCCAATCTAAGCAGACAACTTTATCCATATAGGACTTAATGAAAAACCAACCAAACAGCCAAGTCCTGTATGGATAAAGCTGTCTGTGTAAATTTAAGATCTCAGGCCAACCATACCAGATATTGTCCGCTTTGTCCACAAACCTAGACTCGCAGCTTTAAAATGTGTCTGATAAAGGAGGTATCAAGCCCCTTGTGAGGCAACCTTTGTTCCCCTCCCCAACCAATGTGGGATCTTACAGTAAATTAAGTTGTCTTTACAGATTGGGAAGGTTTTTTTAGAGAGTTTTTCATAGATGGAAGGAAGGTGTTTTTTATTTGGGAGGAGGGTGTTTGGAGAAAACATGATTTTCTACATAAAACTCTCCCCTAGAAGCTTACTAAATAAGCCTCTATATCATTAAATCACTACCAAACAGTCATGTATAGCTGACTGAATAAGCCGAATACCATTAAGCTCATTAAGTTGATAACACAAAGAGGCCCTAAGTGACTTTTCAATTAGTCGCATGAGAACATCTCCAACAGATTTTCTAAAACAAAAAAAATGGAGATTTTGTTCTCTATTTTGCTCTATAACAGGTTCTACAAAATAAAGACTCCACTTTCAAAGAATTTTCTAAAATTTAATGCGAGAGAATAATTTTTTTATTCTTCCCCACCAATGAGATTGGATTTTTATTATTTTATATAAAGTTCTTTTTATAAAAAATTGTATCGGGATCATAAAATTACAGAATATTTTAAGAATATAACTAATGTTGTAATCCGCAACATAGAGATTTTCTAGAGATTTTAACTTCTGGTTCTTGGGATTCTATTTTAAAGAAATTTTAAGGAACCTGCTCGGACCTTCTAAAAATAACATTTAGCTCAATAACTTTCATCTGAGATGCCCTTGTTCAAAAACAGCCTATTCCTCGTTAAAAACAGTAAGAACTTAAAAACACACGAGGGTCTTTATGCAAAACCAGCTTTTGGAGAAGGTCATCGAGCTAAATAGACCAGGATTTGTGGGTCTTCTAACAAAAACAAAACATTAACAAGGTTTCATTTGCTCTTTGAGGCTGAAGTTTATTTACCTTACGACATAACCTTAAGAGCCCATTTGGTTTGTGGGATTTGGTGGTATTTAGACTTGGATTCCATTCCAATCCCATGTTTGATTTAAAGGGAAATTCGGAATTGAAATTCCCGGATTTCAAAAAAATCCCACAAATATGTGGCTTAGAGATCCCATGGGGTAGTTGGTATTTGGCAGGATTTCATAGGATTTATTTGTAATGATGTTGTAAAATATGTTAAAGACACTTGTTTTGTAATCAACTAATAAAAAGGTGATTTAATGGAATTTATAATTTCCAAATCCTACAAACCTAACACACCAAAGATTCCAAATCCTTCCACAATCCCTCAAACCAAACGTGCCCTAAGTAAATTTCTAATCAGGAGCATAATGTTTTAAATTCTATTTAGCTCAATAACCTTCATCTGACCGGCCCCCGGTTAAAAAGGTATGCTTCCGAAAAAACGGGTCATTTTGTAAAACAGGCTTCTGGAGAAGGTCGTTGAGCTAAATAAGCCATAATTTATGGGTCTTCTAACAAAAACAAAGCATTAACAAGGTTCCATTTGCTTTTTGAGGCTGAGGTATATTTACCTTTCGACATAACCTTGTTGTGGCTTTTTTGGCTTGCATGTGAACCAGTAGGTGTCTTTGAAACGGACAGTGAGCTTTGCAACCCTTCTAATAGCTGTAAGAAACGAACCTCAAAACACTCAGTTCCAGAAATTAGCAAACACAAGTAACAAGCACCATTGTCATCCATAGACTGTTTTCATGGTACAAATCATAATGTCAAGCACCCACAAAGTGACGATGACCAGTTGAAGTTGATGAATATAGAGTTTAACTTGAGACTGAAATGAGCTTTTGGTTAGAATAGGCTGAATCTGAATGCTGAATTAGGAATTATGTATAGAATCCAAATTGGAATTGAGAAATTGGGCTTGTTGTGGGATACAACATTTAAAATATGTAAAGCTGCTACGTTGAATGAACTAAAAACTTCTTAATTTCCATTTAAATTGAGCCCAAAGAAAAATTTGATTAAAAGAATGGATGCAGGATTGCCCTCACACAGAAAGAGATATAGATCAAAGGGTCATTGGCCCAGCGGTGCCCAACCTCCCTGGAGGTCAAGCCTCAACAAAGGTGAGGAGTGTGTGTGAGTTTCGCAGTGTATAAATATTTTATATACATGAAAAAAGGAGATACATGCATGCACACACAGAGATATAAATGTTACATAGACATGCCATACATAAGTTATTAGGGTTAGGTTAGGTTAGGTTCAGGGGAAAACCATAAAAAAATGAAAAACTAAAACACCTTGGCAACCATTCATCTATATAGTATGTATGTACACGTGCATACAAGTAATTTGTCCGATATGCGCACTGTGTATAGAACCAAGGAACAACTTCAATTACTTGTATGCACATGTGTATATCATTCAAATGAATGGTTATCAGTGTGTTCCTCAGTTTTTCATTTTTTGGGGGGTTTCCCCTGAACCTCCCTCATAAGCATTATATACTTAAAAATTTGCAGATTAGATATGTTGGTAACCAAATAGCTCACCCTTGAAGTTGGCTGAATCCTACGATTTGATCTGCGTGGTTCAGATTCTGACGTCGACTTCTCTTTCACTTCTACTTTAGTAGCCTTGCTGCCACCAGCTGCAACTTTTCCTTTGTTCAAACGCTGAGTAATTGCCTTTGATGTTAAAGTTCCCTTCGGGGGATCCGATGGAAGAGCCGATGCAGAAGAGTCTTCTATTACATACTTTGCTTTAGGGGAGACGTTTTCATCAACATTAACAGAATCCTTGATGGTTTTACTGCTCAAAACAGCATCACGTGACGTGGGTTTGGAGGATTTAGATTTGTCCTTCTGAGCTAACGTTCTGATCGAAGGAATTGGTGGTTTTCTAGATTTCAGCACTTTGGATTTGATTTCAGCAACTTGTTTTTCCTTAGCGTCATTTTTAGAATTGTTTCTTGATCCACTAGGCCCTGGTGCTTGAGGCATCAAAGAACTTGCAAGCATGACTGAATCATTTGGTGGATTACTCTTATTGCTTCCTTCGGCAACATAATGTTTGCTCACATCCATAAATTTCTGCTTCTTTCCCGGCTTAGGAACGCCAAAAACCACTCTTGGTCGTTCCTTCTGCAGGCCACCCCTCATCGTTCTACGAGTGGTTTCAAACTTGTTCTCATCCTTGGAGCTTTTACCTACATCAAATGAACTTCCTTGGCCAGATAAGGGAAGTATCCTTGATTGTTGATGTTTCTCTGACTCAATAAGATCAACATTATTCGATGACTCATCCTTCTCTTGACCTTCCACAACAGGTTTACCAACCTTCAGTCGCTTTTCCTGTGGTGTATCACCCTGTAACCATATATTTTGTTAAAATGAATGAAGAACAAAATAATCAATCAACAATTATAAAGTATTCCCTCTGTCCCAAAACAATGCTGTGTTCTTGAAACCTCTTTTTACAAAGGAGAAGAAAGGAAAGGGGAGGAAAGTAAAAGAACTCATGTTCTTGAAACTTTTTTAGGAGAGAAAGGAAAGGGAAGGGAAAAAACTACACCACTTTAGAAAGTTCTTAAAATTACAAAACTACACAATCTTTCATTCTAAAGGATATATTTTTTAAAAGGGTATATTAGTAAAAATGGCATCTTTCCTTGCCTTTCTCACCTGTTTAAGAACATAAAAATTATTTTCTTTCTCTTCCTTTACTTCCTTTTTCTTCCCTTTCGAGAACACAAACAAAAAATTTCTTTTCCTTTCCCTCTCTTTCTTTTCCTTCCATTTCTTTTCTTTTCTTTTCTCCCTAAATTCAAGAACACAGCGTAAGTGGCCACGTTTCTGTTTAGTTTGATTTGTGTCCACTTTCAAATATTAGTGCCTACTTTCCAATTCTACCCTTAAGTATGAGTCGGAGAAATGCATTACTTCCTTTATTATTAAGGATAAAATTGTCATTTAAGTAAATAAAAGTGTAACAATTACATATTTCGAAAACTGTGCCTTTTTCATTGTATACACTTATTTTGGGACAGCGTGAGTATAAAGTAATACACAGATTAAGTAGACCTCAGCAGAATGGCATGTCTTTGAACCAGCCCACTCAATCCAGTTGCCATCTTTCCAGATAAGAGTTGGCCTAACATGCCATGACTTAACTATTGACGTCCCTCCTTCAGCTGCAAGAAGAGGGGGGAGGATGTCTAATCAGTCCATAAATCAAAATTTAGCACATTTTATTTGTAAAAATCAAACAAAAAATACATATAACCATACATACCAGGAAATTGAACATTTATAGATGTTACATCGATCTTATTTGTCTCCAAGACAACTGCTTCACGCCAGCTACACAAAGGTACTAACACATCATTTAGAAGGGTAACTTTTTGCAAAACATTATTGTATACAAAAGTTTCGAGTATGAATACCAATTTTCCAGCTATAACAGCAACGTTATATTCTCGAATTTGGGGAGAAAAGAAAAGAAAAGAGATGGAAGAAAAAGAAAATATTTTTTTATTTGCGTTCTCGGAAGGGAAGGAAAGAAAAGGGAGGAAAAAGAAAGGAAAGGAAAATAATTTTTTTATTTTTGTTATCCAAAGGGCAGGAAAAGAAAATAATATATATGTTCTTGAACATGAGAGAAAAGACATAAAAGATGTCATTTTTACTAATATACCCTTTAAAAATATATTTTTTGCAATGAAAGATTGGATAGTTTTGTAATTTTAATAATTTTTTAAAGAGTTCTAATTTATTTCCTTTCCTTCCCTTCCCTCCATATTTTGGAGGAAACTTATCATTATTTTCCTTCCTTTCCTTTCCTTTCTCTCCTAAAAAAGTTTCAAAAAAACGAATTCTTTCTTACGTTCCTCCCCTTTCCCTCCCTTTCCTTCGTAAAAAAGAATCGGGAACACAGCGTAAAAGTCAGTAAGATATAACTCTAATGGATGGGGGTACAAGTCGCTATAAAAATATAGTTGGATTTGGTCATTCGAATACTCAAAAAATAAACATTATAAATATGCCATATAACTGTTTGCATTAATTAGAACAGAGAAGGCATGATGCACCAAAGAGTAAAGCATTATGTAAATTGCTTACCTATCTTGTACCCACACATCAACTCTATCCCCACTACACCAAGCATAATCCGAAAAGGCCTTTCTGCTTCTTTTTCTAGTCCTTTCAAACTGCATCTTAGTCATAGGATGGGCAATACGTATCCTAGGTGCCTCGGTGCTTTCAACTTCAAGTGCAACCCATTCCTTTAATTGCCCTGATCCTTAAAAAGAAAGAATATAAAATAAGTACCAAAAGTAAGCTTTCGTAGTAGGATGATTGATTCAATCTAGACTTGCCTCTTCGATTTCCTGAATAATCTTGTTTCCCCAAATTACCAACATATAAATCACTCCAGAACACATATTATACAAAGAACCATGGGTTTGCGATAAAATAAACAGAAATGAAACAAAGAAAACAAATAAATCACATCTACAGATTTTAGGAAACGATTGCAACTATACAATCGTATACATTTATCGATCTTTATCCAACACAAAGCATGTCATATTTTGCGTGTTCAATGCCTTCAAGGGAATTCAGAAAAGCAATCCACATCTAACAAAAGGATTGTACAACATGCAAACATTCATGTGATAATAGAACAGTTGTGCAACACCCACATTTTAAATTATACTGCCTATACAGTTCAGTCCATATATTCTCTTATATATTCGTTACAGCGCATTCATAAACAACGGTTGTATACACATATAACAAACATTAACATTTAACTGACATCCACTGCAAAAGTAATTTGTAACATCTAACCTTCATCTGATTGGACTTCAGTGTAGCAGACAAATGCTTTTCCATCCTTTAAAGTCAGTACATTAGCTGCAAACCAGGCACCTTTGTTCTTGTTGTCATCTTTATACACCTAAAACACAGACAGATGGATTGACAAAAATGCAAATACTTCTCACAGGGATCCATTTTACTCAAAAGAGAGAGTACAAAAGTAAGTGAAATACATAGTGCATCAGTGTTAGCAGCATGCAAAGTGAAGCATCTGAACTTTCTACCAAATTACTTACCTCAACAAGGCAACCCTCGTTAATGCCGTTCTCTTCCCAAGTGCCTGAAGTACTTTGGAGCATGTTCTGGTCAACGTCAGAAGTATGAATTGATACGAACTCTGGTTCAGGAAATGCCTCACCGGTTTTAGAGAAGTCAGAACCTTTTTGAGGCCTATCATTTTCATAGCTTGTAGTTGAGATGCCATCAATAACCATCTGATTCTTGGCCATATCCCGAGAACCCTCTTGCAGTGACAAACCATGTTTCAGATTCTGAATATCTTTATCACTGGCAGCAGCTTCAACATTCTGTTTATCAGAGTATCCATGCTGGTTGGATGGCTGGGGACTCTTCCAGTAACCCTCAGGACCAGCTTCAACCAACTCTTTTACGGGCAAGGGATTACCCATTGCAACAATTTTCCCAGCTTGTGATACTGCTTCCGCTGCCAGTTCAGCAGCTTTCACGATAGCGTCTAAATTTTCAGCATGTTTTGAAGCAGCTGAAGCAGCTTCAATTCTCCGACGAGCACCTTCTCTAGCAGCAGAAATGATTGAAGTGGGATGGTCACTTCTGTTTGCGCTCTTCCAAACAGAAGCAGGTGTACCTTTATCAAAGTTGGGATCGACATTTGCAATCATGCTGCTTTGATCATATTTTTCAGTCCTACTTGATAGAAATACTTCATCAGCCATTAATCTAGCTTGTTCAGCAACATTTGATGCGATTTTAGCAGCTGCTGCTGCCACTTTAGCAACAGAAGCAGCAGCTGCTATCGAGACAGCTGAAGATGCTAGTTTTGCTTCATCATCTGAAACCAAACCAGAACTCTTTTGCTTTTCCAACTGGCTCCATACACTTTGGCAGTGGCTGACCACAGCAGCAGCATGAGCAGCCGCATCAGCTGCTTGTAGCTTGGACTCCTCAATTTTGCTCACAATCTCCTCTCTTGTAACAATCTTCTCTACGTTTTGGTCACTACGTGTAGGATGACCATGAGTTGATGCAGGAGATACAGCCGAAAGAGAACTACCAGGATTGCTTTTAGATGCGACGGAAACAGGTGTCAATAAGGCAGCTGATGTAGGAGAATGACTACTCACAGCAAGAGCAGTCCCTGAAATTGTCTGATTTTGAGCAAGAAATGAGATTTGATTGTAACCCTCCGTTTGAGGGGCCCATGGCAAATGAGCTACAGGTGTACAGAGTGATGCTACCTGAGCTTGACTAGAAACAGGCATCTCACTCACGACCCCACTAGCAGCAACTTTTTTCCTCTTTCTGCTTTTCGAATCACTTGAAGGCTGACCAGAAGACACCATTGCCTTCTTCTTGTTGGATAGGGAAGACAACCCAGAAGAAACGCTTGGGCCAGCAGTATGATCGACAGGAATTACAGACACGCCTGGAGCACCTGATTCTTTGACAGTGGTTAATTTTACCGCATCCGTTATAGGCAAAGAAGAAAAACGAGCACCAAAAGCAGTAACTGGTGAAGAAGCAACCCATTGACCAATGAAAGGGCTCTGAGATAGCCACGACGGATTATGTCCAGCAAAATTCTGCACCCGTGGAGGTTGATAAGGATGTAGAGGAGATAGTGTTGGTCGATAATCAAGAAGAGCACTTCTTGGCATGACACTAGACTGCAAACCATCACAAGGCGTAGAAATATTCCAAAGAGGAGATGAAATGGGGATCATGGGACTAACAACAGTTGAAGAAATACCCATGTTGCTTGGTCTGGGGGTAAGTGGTGAGAGAACTTTGTTTTGGGCAGAACCAACTTTAATCCCTTGATCAGGATCTCTGTTACCTACATCTGTCAAAGTTGAATTGAAGTTCAGATGATCAACGGTAACAACCACAGAAGAACTTGAACTGGTCAATGTCATGCGGTACCTGATCGCGGTTGCATAGGGGTATCAGGGTTGTTGGCCTGGGATTTGCGACCACGAACCCTTTCTAGACAAGCATGCCAAGCAGCCTCCCACGCTCTCCTTCCACCATCTGTAAAATACATGTGATGACACCAATATGAGATTTCTGGTTCACTGAAAAATGAAAACTGTAAAATAGACTGACCAGACTGCCCAAATGCAGCAATCATATGAGACTCTTCGGGTGCCATCCCAGATCTGAAACATGTTTCAGTCATGCATATTAGAACCAAAACCGAACATACATGTATGAATTAAAATTCTAACTCAAAAGTAACCAAATCAAGCTACAATCCATAAAGGGTTGGCATGATATCATGCATCAGGCTAGTGAAAAGGTGAAACCACTTCTGCAAGTTCTTTCCACCCATCTAACAACGTAAGACTCATACATCCCCACTTGTGTCCCTGTCTTTGGCTCAGCAATCAATGTTGACCAGTTATTAGACTTCTGTGAGACCTATCCAATGTTCTGCCCACCCCAAAATTCATCCTAAGAATGCTAGCAAGGTCGTCAACTAAACCCATAAATAAATTAGTGTGCTTCTCTCATTGAGCAATGCAAAGTACATATGCATGAAAAGTCAAACTACTCACATTAATGATCCATATACTAAAATTTGTGCTCGCAATTGCACTTGTTGAGTGTCGGTAAAAGACTGCTGGAACATAGAGGTTGAATTATTCAGATCAGGTAGATTTGATGTGAGAATAGGAGGAATGTCACCCGGTCTTTGATTGCTGCACTCAACACTCTCACTAGGCTTCAACCCTTCGACCGAAGTAACATGTCCAATTGCAGGGGGGTTTAACACTCCAGGTGATTTTTCTACTCGCCCTGAACGTCTCCTGGGTGTTGTTTCCTTCAAGTTGTTACCTTTCTTGGCAGTTTCCTTCCCTGCTGATTTTCTCCTTGGTTTGCGCTCAGAATTCCCATTGGATCCTGCTTCAATGGCTGCACTGCTAGGCGTTTGTTGACTAAACAGAGAATCTTCATGCAATTTATTAGGATCCAACAGGCTAGCATGAGAACTAACAGATGACACCTTCGTATTCTAAGCAGAAGTTCATGACATAGGCAGTTTATAAAGGGTTAAGTTGAACCGAGAAACAAAGCATGCAGATCATAAAAATAAAATAGGATTACCTTTGACAAACTACGGTTTTGAATGCCAGTTTGTCCAGGACCAGCACTTGCAATGACCTCAAAAGTAAAGCTTTTTTCTTCTTTTGTAGCACTACTTGAAGAAACTGACTGAAGTCCCTCTTTGTCATTACTAGCATCTGAAAGTGGGGCATTGACATACCTAGTATCCTTGGGGACCTCATGCTTATCACTTGCAGTTTGAGAAAGTTCAATGCTTTTTATGTCTGAAAAAGAGAAAATTTGAGGTTTATCCAATAAAGTTGAACCAACTCCATTCTGCACCACATGATTGGCGTCACGTTCAGATGGGCCAGCTACATCAACAGAAGCCTGCTGCTCATCTGACATATTAACTGCAAAACCCAGCCAAGTCATCAGAGCAATATTCGCAACTCAAATATGCATTTGAAGATCTTTAATCTTTCAGAATAGCCTTGTAAATCAGATATAATACCCCCTCTTGCATTTTTTTGTCACAAATATCTAAAAATTTCTATTCATAACATCTTCTAACAAGGGTCCATCTCAAATATCATATCTGTGAACAAAAATGTTATAATACACTAATATTGTTTTTTCTTATAAATTGGCCAAGAACGTTGCAAATGATTCCGCAACTGCGTAGGATTTTCATCCTCAAGTAACCCAAGATCCTACCATGTATAATTTGATTGTATTTATGTTTGAGATCAACATTTGATTACACTAAAAACCACTGGTTTTATAGCGATTTCAAGTCCATTTGATCGACGCATATAAATGCAGTTATTTCTTGATCAGAAGTATTTTACTAGATTCAATGAAAATAGAATGAATCAGAAAAAAGATGAAAAAGGCTCTGAGCACATATAAAAGTACTACAAACCACAAGATGGTAAACATGAAGGAAGCAAAGTACACGGCAACGCCTCTAAAAAATAGAATACAAAAGCACTAACTGGTATCTTAAGTCACAAGGTGCAACCAGTTCCACTCCTTCCCCATTCCTCACCACCACAACAAGAGAAAGAGAATACACTTAAAGAGTAATAGAATACAAAAACTACAAGCGTCATCTTCAGCAGGGTCAATTACATTCAACCAATATTTTTCAACAAATGTCGATGAGCTTGAGCACAGGCTTGAGCTCTCTTTACTAACCTAATGTGCACAAGGATCTAGAGAAGAAATTCCTGCCAAACGGTTATAAAACGCCATGTCCAGGTTATAAAACCTCCACCAGAACGGTAGCCTATAAGGTGCCATGTATCTATGCGAATGGTTGGACTAGACAAGACCATAGGGAACCAATTTGAAGGATTAAAGAACCAGCTACTGCAACAGCATCAAGCTCCTCTATCAATTTTGTTTACTCACTTTTATATAGAGACATTCATCATCAGGATAAGAAATGGTGGAAGAATAATGCTTCATGAAGTTTCTTGCTATATGCAAACCAGAAGCTATTGATGGATTTTAACTTTGCACGACAATATCAAATTAGCTACAAGCAGATAAGAGTTGAATATAATGTTTCAATTCAACCACCTTGAACTGCCAAGGTATAGTACCAACTCCATGTGATAAAGTTTAAGACACTCAATTCACGCATAATTAAAGAAACAAGGAACATCACCTGCTAAATTTTGAGGTTCCACTCCATCTCCTGCAATCGATTCTCTAGGGGTCAGTAGACCTCCTGCCTCAGCATCATTGCCCCCTTCTGCTGATGACTCGCAAGGAAGAGGGATTGTCTCCAATGTCTTGGAGCACTTGAGATCACCTGGGTTATCCTCCGCTATTTGTTCACTTGGGCTTGCATTGCAGTTACCGACAGGAGGATCACAATCACCATCCAGCTTGTGCACAACTTTTTCAGCGTCATCAGAAACTGCATCCTCTTCAAATACTGGTAATTGACCATCCACAGCACAATCTACCATATTATCAACTTCTTGGGTCTTTTTTTGGGAACTTTCCTCACTGAAGAATCCTACTGTTTTTTCTTCATTACCATCTTCCAATAAATTCACCCCAAGTATAGGTGATATTGGCTGGTCTCCAGTCACAATATCAGCTGTAGCATCAGTTTCAGAAGGTAAATGCACATCGTCCGGGGTGTCGGGAGGTGATATTTTGCTTGGTTCCACAGCAGCAACTGATGATGCAAAATTAAAGAGGAATTAGTTCAAATATATCATTAGTAGATTTATATCCTATGTTTGAAACTCCAAACAAGGACCTAGGTAATCTATAATCATAATTCTAATATACCAGCATCAGTTAGAACAGTCATATTAGGTTCAGATCCTTGAATCAGTGTCATAACCCCTTTACAACCTTCGGCAGACGAAGATGGTTCGACATTCTTTTGGCTATCAAGAGCTCCAACAACATGCATGTCAGCATCCTTAAAATCCAAAGGCAATCTTGCATCCCCTCTCTCATTGAAAGTAACATCTTGATCCATAGAGATGGCATCTGGCTCTGATGATTGAATTTCATCACCCACCTGGACCAAACTAGAAATCTTGGCAGGCAAGCTCCGATACTCGTCATTTGAATCCCCTGTGTGAACATCCGGAGCATGTCCAGCTGCTTCATCCTTAATTGAGATGTCCTCAGCAGGCATTTCAGCTGAAGAGCCTGCTGCTATTGAAGTTTTACCAACATTATTAATGTCACTTCCTTCACTCAACTCAAATCGGTTATTGCCCAAGGACACCATAGATGCACCTGAACTAACCTGTTGGCCATCACTTACAACACCATTTTCGGTTTCCCCAAAGGAATGATTCTGCACATGAGACAGGCTGGACAGAGAACCCACATTAGATTTTGGAGAACCAGGAATGTCTGACTGTGTATCAGCATCCTCAATTGCTTGCCTCTTGACACATCCACCATTTGGAGAAGTTGCAAGCGATTCCACATGTATGTTATCATTAAGTTCCTGGTCTATCTTTGAGCAGATCAAAGAAGCAGAGATTTCAGATTTTCTACCCAGAGAATGTTCAGCAGAACATACATGGGCATTGCATCCTTCAGTTATCTGCATATCACAGCTCCCTATTGGTGATGAACAGGTAGGCTTGTCATCAACAGGGATACTCCCTTCAACTAATGGATTCTCCAAGGATCCCACATTGGAAACAACTGAGAGCTTTTCAATGCTATATGTACAAGTTTCAACGATGGTGCCACTGTTGGTTGGATTGTCCATGATATTCTCTTTGCTCTTATTAGTATGTTCAGGCTCACTATTATAGTTGTTCTTTGACAAACCACTAACATTTTCGATGCACCTTTTAGGAACTTCTTGTGGGTTCTCCTGGCACTCCTCAACACTTGCATTAACATTCACTGAGGAGCCTGCATTTTCACATTCTATCTTGGAGACAGAAGGATCTTCTTGTGAATCTTTAACATAGGATTCATTTGCTACATTAACGGGTTCCTGATTTACATCATCACATATCTTATCAACTTTTTTCTCACCAACGGATAAACTACATTTGTTACCTATAACTACTGAATCTAACTTCCCACCAGAAATTGGTGTCTCTTGTGATTGTGGAGTGGATGCAGCATGAGATTGCTCGCAGTAAGAACTCGCTTTTGACCCAACAAAATTCTCCTGGAACTCGTCTGGTACTGGTGCATCATAAGTATTAACATAATCATCAGTTCCATCACATTGCTTCAAGATGGGATCCATAACATTAGTTAAGCTACCAGACTTATCACAGGCAACCGTTTCTTCAATTGTTGTTTCTTCTACAACCCTCTCTTCCTGTCCAACTGATTTTAGAAGCATTTCAACAGATTCTGAAGATGTTGCTTCAGACCATACATTTTTACGTCTGGATTCGACCGCACTTGAACTAAACTGTATTGCACTAGTTCCCCGTGAGTATTCCTCAATCCACTGATTGTCTTCCTGGCTTGTGATACCTAGAAAAACCTCGTTTTCAACCAGACTGTCAAACCTTAAATGTCCCTGTAGGCTATCATCAAAGTCAAACTTGGGAAGAGCATATGGCTGCAATATAGGAGAAACTTTGGAGCTCCCTTCCCCAGCTAAGTGAAGATTTTGTTCTTTAGCATCATTGTCATCATAATCCATTGAGAATCCCTACAGCCAAAGTAAAGTTGTAAGGGACATATATATATATGTGTGTGTGTGTATATATACATACACACAAAAACAAATTATGCACATACATTAGGTAGGTAATTGACCAATTAAGAGAACAAAATGTGCCAACTTTAGATGGTGGAATCATATTGATTGATTAAGAAAAACCAAATGAATACAAGAATAACAAAATATTATGATTTCAACTATGCTTCCATACAGGTAACAGACATATCTCAAGTAATAGAAAAGGGGACCCTTTAAAATGGGACATCCATATCTCAACAAATTATGTACATATTGACATGGAAGGATGTGAGCTATTTTAGTTGTCTGTCAAAAAAAACATTACGATTTTCGAAGGTGACGTAGAAAAAATTTCCATTGTGTAACAAAAAGTTTGAGTTTGGCACCTCCTTCATCCTAGAGATGTCACCCAAAGATATAATTACCAGAGAACATCATAGTTACAAATTTGCTAACCGGATAACCAAATCTACACAAAAGCACCTCAGATTTCACATGAATTGCTTGGTCATCCAAATGATGTTTCAAGGTTAAGTTAACCATTAATTTCAAAGTATATTCTGCAAAATAATCATTTCAAGCAAGTTCAGCACTCTCAGTGCAAGGGTAACCGATGGCTCTTCAGTCATATTGAGGTATAGCAATGGCACACTCACACCATTGATTCGCCTATCATGGCCTCGAGTAAGTTGAATACCTTACGGATAACCTTATCACGAGCATGGAGGGAGTCTTGTTGTTCATCAAACATCTAATCACCACCTTACCCAACTTGAGGGAAGTCTCCAGGCAGTAAAAGCTACATTATGTAACCCATAAGACCATAACACATATAAGCCTCGAGATTTACCATCTAGAAGATGCACAACTCTCTTAAAGGTTTAAAATAAGTCACCCCCATGCAATAGTTCACCGTTAGGGCTGGCAAGTCTACATGCAACGTAGGTACTATAAGAGGAAAATTTTACCTCTGAATATCGATTCTTTAGACTGATCAACACCGACTTGTGGTTTACCAAAATAACTGACAAATAGCATGGGGCCCTTACGATATTATTTTAATTTTAAACAAATTATCCATAATTAGTCTCATATAAACAAGAGAAAATCATTCTTTACATATGATTAACTCAAACATTTTCCAACTGAAATACTTAAAAAGCAAGTCAGCATGTTTTTACCAACACTATTTTGGCAGATAGAAACACTGCTAAGTGCAACAACTCGCACAAGCAAATGCATATCCATGCCAGGTATCCATTTCTATAGATAACCAAGGGTCATAATCCTGGACCGTCAAAACTCTAGCTTCAGATATAGTGCCATATTTCCACTAATTGTTGTTCAAAAGACTGATTCAACACTCAAACCTTTATCATCAACAACAACATTGTGTCACCCATTGGTGCTAGAACATTAAGCACATATTCCTGCCTTCAGTCAACTGTCCTACCACAAGTAAATATTTGTTTCTCACAATATGTTTATAGAACTTAAAAAGATCCTTAGCCCCACATTAGGGGAAACATGAGTTGTTGCAACATACTCCATTTTATGTTAATAGTAACATCATCCGTCCAATCTATGATACCCAGTCCCACATCATTTACAAGTGTACATTGTCAGTCCTCTTATAACTACTTACTATTGGCCAACTAATAACTTTCTATCACTAGTTGATTTTAAGGCTACTGGGTAACCATGCTACTCTAAGCTTGAGAAATTACAACCGGTACCAGAATAGGGGACTCTTAAGGTGTTGCAGGTTGGACTCATGCAACTCCTACAGATGATGATTCTAAGATTTCATAAGGCTTTTTAATCAGGCCAAACAAAAACTCAGAAATTCTAACAGAATTTATAATACATTGTCCCACTTTAGTTCAAAGTAAGTGCAACTTCTCATATAAGCACTTGGTAATGAGCTAGTAATAACTTCCTACCATGGTTTTAGTTGTTTCAAGTTATGGGGTGAAGGTTTTACTTTGGCATTGAAGACCCTGCAGTGCAACTAACCATGATTAAAAACTTGGCCATCTCATTGTATTACATATTGTCTAACTCTGACCCCCTTCCTAAGTTTGAACATTTCATAGACAACATATGACCAACTAACCTAAATATTTTACAACTTATTTCAATAGGCATCCAACACAAAGAAAAAACTACACTTTTGCATGGCATAAAACAGCCACTACAAGATAATGATAGTGAGAGAGTCAATCTGAGGAAAACAAAATAGCCCCTATAGGCATTGCATTCATTGATCTCACAAGTATGTAATTCATAGTAGCTCCTACGTAGCTGCCAACTTCATTAATACAGATTTGCTTGAATTGTGACTGAACAGTTTATTCCAGGTGTAGTGCTCCTATACAACACCATTGACTATTTAAGACCCCTTCATACTTCCCATCTAGTATTTTTATTACTACTTCTTTCCCATCCAATACACTTCTTTCTTAGGATTGGCTGCCTTGAGGTTCTTGTTTGGCGTCATTTGCATATCAAAGTGCAAGTCCTCATTCACTGCCATTGTTGACCCAACACCTTTTATCATTTTATTTTTACCTCTTATATATAATGAGCTCTTAGCAAGCAATTATCCTAAGTCCTAACTACAAATCTCTTGCTAACTTAAAAGTTATATGTTCCACACCTCAAAACTAGGAGACTTTGCACGATCAATATCTTCATATTATATCAATATGTCATGCTGGATTGAAGCATTTAATACCTCAAATCAAAGCAAAAAAATGAGGCCTAGGAAAAATGTTCTCCTTTGACAACCATGTTATCATTTTGTTACTAGATATTATATAATAATTACTACAGGTTGACATGTTTAAAAAAAGTTAGTCATTCGCGTTGCAAGTATCAAAGATCTAGTTGACATATCAGTTACTTGCACATTCAAAGTTCGATCTCAGACCACAAACTAACATATTTTGCTTTTTCTATTACCCTACAATGCACATTACTAGTACTCTAAAGTTTTGATCCACTGCATGACAGTGAGGAAGCTTTCAACTATGGAAATAATGGAAGAGGTTAAACCGTTAAGTTGTGGTTGAACGGGGGAACTAAAATAATGCTTAAAGTTTGACATTCAAGAAAAGAAAATCTATAATTGAATGAACCATTGTGTTAAGAAAGTATTATATTATATATAACATTGTGAATCATTTCAATGAATCATAAAAACGACAAAGATACATGCTTTAGCTCAATTTCAAAAGTTTCATTTATAATATTCAGCCACACTCGTGATAGCTAGCTAAACGCTACCAAAAACCCATTCAAGTTCAAGTATAAGCCTTACAATATCCAATAACTCCAAACCTGTGCCGCCTACACAGGAATACAGAAAACAAAGAAATTCTATGATTCAAAGCAACCTGACCCCTCTTCTCCCCAAAAAATATCTTTGATGATAAAATGCATTTGAATAGTACTAATCATGATATGGTCAATAGCTGACAGTTACCTCTAGCAGTTAGGACTCTTGTTTACACTCAGATATATAAGAGAGAATATTATGTGATGATACCGTCACCACCACCCACCTAAAACACACACACTAATGCATGCAGGCCAATATACACACAGTCCCCAGCTTGTTATTTTCATTTCAGACAATTCAAAAAGATTTCTTTCTCCATACCATCTCTCTTAATTACTGGAACAAAATCAAGTTTGACAAACACTCTATACCACTTTATAAACCCAAATTTAACACTGATCATGTTCAAAACCATTATAAATCATTTTTTGCAGAAACCACTCGCTCACTTTAACAACAATAAAACAACGCATGTTAACAAAAGAAACGGGACAGTTATTACCAGAAGAAGTAAGTGTAGAATAAGAGGAGAAGGTATCACTACCTCCCTCCATTCGGTGATTGAATCTAAGCGTTGGATCAAAGTTGCCGCTTCTTCTTCGCACAAAAAAACACCTCTAGGGCTCAGAAAACTCAACTTTTTTCAAATTAAACAAGCCCTAATCTTCACACAGAAACACAAAACTCCTCAATTGGTGCGATCCTCAAATGCTAACGATATCAAATTGATTTATCGGATGAACCGAACAAGTACGTCGACCTAGGGATAGATTGATACACACTCTTTTAGTGTGTGTTTTGATGGCGTGCGCGAGATGATAGTGATACAATTTGAAACAGAGTCGAGGGTATTTTCGTAATAATAATTTGAACGGGGGCATATGATTTGTTGGGGAAATAAAACGGCGAATAAAATTTTTGAGTTTGAATTTTAAAATGAATATAATTACACTCCAATTTGTTAAAATATTTTTAGTAATTATTTTGAAGTTATTTCTTCCATTAACAATTTTCTTTTAAATTATAAACATTGTATTTTAAGCAAAGTTTTGAGGTGGCATGTGGGTCCCAAATATAAGTGAATTAGACTGGATATGATTGAAATTAGATAGAATCTTCGGTGTCTGATACTGCTAAGTAGGGGTGCTCAAAAACCCGATGAACCCGACCAACCCAACCTGAATTTAAAAAAAGAAAACCAACCCGAGGTAACCCGATGCATGATCGATAAAAAAAATTAGTCAACCCGACCTTATTGGGTTGGAATCGGGTCATGCCCAAAAAAACCCGACCAACCCGATGAACCCGACATTAACTTTAGCTTTGAATTGTAGATGACAATCATGACATGACCAACCTCAACGTCAAGAAAGTGAAAGCATCGGGGTTGGAAACGTCTAAAACTATTGTTGTTGATTGATATATTATCATTTGGTTTAAACATTTTTATTGTAATATCTAAATATTTGATGAACTTGCATATTATCTTGAATGGTCGTTCGTATTTCAAAGAAAAGTTTCCTTTATTTTTATGTGATTTTACATTGTTTAAACACAACCCGATCAACCCGAACGGGTTGGGTTGGGTTGGGTTGAACTTTTGTTTGGGTTGGGTTAGGTTGAAAATTTTCAAACCGCCAACATTGGGTTGGGTTGTTAAAACGGCTCCAAACCGATCAATCCGGACCGTGAGCACCCCTACTGCTAAGTATTAGATAAATACATTTAAAGATTATTTGATGATTTTATATAACATATAACAGTGATGAAAGTTTTAATGACATGGGGTCAAGGTCAAGGCTCAAGTCGTACGATGAGGCCATGATGTTTTCCAATGTGTGACATATGATGGCAACTCTCTATATCATATATAATATTTTAAATGTTAACTATTTTTCTACTATTATTCAATGGTTCAATGATATAAACAATTTTAATTATGTTGTATATTAAAAACTAACAAATAAGACATTAAAAAAAATGTAAGAAAAAATAAATATCATGGTAAGAGAAATGCACATTAGATTATGATGGGCTACAAGCTTAACATGGCGTGAGACACAAGTTTTGAATCACAGCGCGTTTTAGTGGTTGTTACAACGAGCCTTTTCAAACAGTGATTTTAAGCAGTTATAATTTTAAAATTTTCAATTAATTGATAATTTAGAATAAAGTATGGTTTTCAAAATAATGTTTTGTTGAAAATTTTGGTTTTCGTCTTTTATCTTCATTAGTCGTTGTTTTCATCGTTATGGTTTGAAACTCTTTTTGATGTTTTATGTGAAACCGATGCCTTTAATAAAAAGTTTTAAGTCAAGGGCATTTGTTTAACAAATATATATATATATATATATATATATATAAAGGTTGGTTATTATACAACCTTTTACATTTGTACAACCAATACAATCCAATCTCAACCGTCTATTTAATTTGATGAATATGTAATTTATAGAAGTTTTGATTATTTCCTATGATAAAGTATTAATCATAATTAATGAACCATATTCATATTCCATAAATATTCAAATCATAATAAAAGAACTCTCATCATTTCCATAAATATCTCAACAGATTAGGTTGCACTAGTTGTACAAATGAACATGGTTGTATTTGAAATATACTATATATATATATATATATATATATACTAGAAGCGTACTCGCGCAATGCAGCGAGATACATCGTGTTTTTAATATTTTATTTTATTCTTTATCTTAGTCGATGTTATAATATGGATTTATGTTATTTTGAGAAAGCGATAATGTTTTTATTTTTGAATAAAATATATGTTTGACGATATCATAAAAATTTGACAAAAATATATCGATATTAATAACAAATTAACTATTTGAAATTCCTCATTTTTTTGTAATTTTTTAATCCAATTTTTTTATAATTTAATTTATGTACAATAACGAAGTAATTTATATTTGGTTCAATAATAAAAATTTTTATAAAGATAATAATTATTTATTTTGTTGGAACTCGATAATTATTCTAATTATATATTAGATTTTTAATATTTTAAAATGAGATGTTCATCCTCTATTTGATTATGTTTATCCGCAGTTATTTATACGAATTCAAATATCGAGTTTTAATAAGTTGTACTTATTCATAATTACTTATAATCTTGAATTTTAAGTAATATGCATCAATATACAGTATTTTATGCATAACAAAAATATAT